ATTAACTTAGCAGCGAAAGGATAGATACCCATCACATTCACATACGGCAAAAAACATGTCAAATCAGATGAATGACGATACTAGTGGTGGTAAGGTGGTGGAACAAGAAAGGAGCAATCTTTCGCTTACTTGTTTGCGTGCCTACCTACCTATCGTTATACGGCGATCGTCTCGAGAAGACAGGATATGGGGCCAACCCGGAAAGCGACTCAGCAAACGCCGCATTACTACCTATCAGCGTGACCACATTATTATTTTTCTTACCAGTCAATATTTGCAGCTACTTCATGAGGCAACAGTAGCGGGGTTAACCGATTTGCTATCAGAAACAAGACACGTATACAGATCTTCGCCTTTTAATTGATGAATTCAGATCCTAAAATGGTAATTTTAGCGAATTACTTCACGCTATCGATATAAGGAACTTCCTAGTGAATCAAACATTGACTTCTAACTGTCCCAACAAGTCGCCATCTTATAATCAATCAATCATTAGATAATTGTTAACCGATAAGTTATACGAGCATCTCATTATAGCCGAATAACTAAACCGAGTACGGTTCTTAATAATAGAAGAGCTATTTTCGTGTCAAAGACCGAGACTACAGGCTCTGATAAGGACAAGTACACGTTGTAACAATCTAAACACAAGCTAGAGAGAGAGAGAATGAGAGAGAGAGAGAGAGAGAGAGAGAGAGAGAGAGGGAGATTACGACCAGTGAATCGTCGTTATCCGTACTGCCTGTTGTATTGTTACTGATTTACCTTCGTGTACCGATGTTGTTGTACCTATTTTCCGACCGAACATGGTGAATTTTTCTCATAATATATAAATCTGCTTAAGCTCTGATACCCTAATATAAATGTATGTGAGTGCGTATCTGAGATTTTGCGACTAAAACGGGCTTGGAAGTGAGCCAAGGTGATTCGCTGACGCAAATCAAACAAACTATCCGACTGACAAATGGCTTTATGTGCGCGTGCTGTATCGCTACAGATGTCGGATGACATTTGTTCTACGTGTAGTTGTTTGATGTAGTCGGCCTATGGCGTCCATGAACACCGTTAGCGACGCCACCGCCATCGCAGTCAGGAGGCTCTAGATAAATGGGTAGAAATAATAGTAGTATTCGTGATAACTGCTGTAAGCTAAGGGGGTAACGCCCAGTCACCATCGTCATCGTCGTCATGGCAACGTCCATCAGTCTAAGGTGCGAGGCAATGGAAGAGAACACATATTTGCTTCCACAGTAGAAACAGCTGTAAAAAACGACAGTAATGAAAGCGCTAATCTTACTCGCTCATCAGGCCAAAAGTTGAAATGCATTATTTTATACTGGCCGCGTAAATAACTATCAGCGACTTCGTTTTCTCACTGGAGAAACAGTAACGTTGGAGAAGCTCTTTTTTTTTTCTCTATGACGAAGTAGTTTCGTAGTGAGTTGTCGCAAACTCTTTCGCTTTGTAAGAGTTATTGCAAAATGGAGGAAAGACATTTCCTTGCGAAAAAGAAAAATCTTTGGGCATAACTAATCCTTTAGGTTGTACTTGTTGAATAGCGGAATAAAGGACATAGATGTTCTTCGATTAGCTGATGGGCTAATAAGATAAATAAACGTATCTGTATCTTGTCACGTATGGTGACTTAGATGGACAGGTCCTCGCGTGTAATAGTAATACATATCAAAAACTCCCTTCGTTTATGTAGTACGTGTCACTCGATGTCGTGACAGAGGTTACAAGAAAAGGTGCCTCCACGTAGGTATTGAGCAAGATGTTGTGTAACGCCGTTTTGCATATATCAGTTACAGCCGACGAGGGTATAATTACACAACCTATTTTTACAGCATCCATTGTAATAGGTGCTTTATTCATTATTTTGCTTAGCTTTGCGAAAGGGTTCTGGGAATGACTTCGAATTCTGGTTGCGTTATACGAATATTTAATTCTCGAGGAGTTTCTCGATACAGGCGAAGATCTGTGGTCGCGTGGAAAGACATTCGACCTGCTTCGAAATCCGAAACCCAAAAGAAATTCTCTGATGTTTTAGGTCCAAGAAAAGCGGGTCGTCTGACAGTCAAACCGATAGACGTTCAGAAATGTGGATTAGGTGGCCATAGGGTATTGCTGATATTGGCATTCAGGTTGCGGATCGAGGATCAGTGGATAGAAGTAACGAATATTAGAGGATGATACGCAATGAAGAATGATTGACGTCGTTCGATGGCGCCGTGACAATCTGCGGGTTCATTTTAATCACAGATCTGGTAATCCTTCTCTATATACCATATTAGCTGTAAAGGTAATCGCCGCTGTCCGCAAACGGCAAGGCTATCAATGCGAAGAACAGCCGAAGATTCTTTGAGGAAGCCAAGAAGAGAGGCCGTGGCTACTAAAAGCGTGTAGATGGCTCGCTTCTCGCATCTCGTCACGACTCGCCACTGTTGAACAGCGCGCACCACGCAGCTTGGCACAGTCGGTCGACAAATTTCAACTCATA